GTCTGAGCAGAGAGACTTCCTGTGGTGGAATCAGCCTGTGCAAAGGCCCTGAGGTGGGTGTACCTGGAAGACCTATTGGAGGAAGAGCAGGGAAGCCACCTGGTGAGAGCAGGGTGAAGGAAAGGAGCAGGAACTGAGGTCTGATTAACTCAGGGGAGAAAAGCCTCCTAAGGGGGCAAGAGGAAATGCAGGAAGTGACCAGAGGCCAGTGCATTGATCTTCCGGGAGCTGACCGCTGACCACCAAGGGGCGACTGAGAAATGGGACTGTACTGGGGGATTGTCTGCAGGGTTCTCAGTAGGATTCAGGGCATGGGAAACAGGTCAAGACTGAGCTCCAACTTTTGTCCCTGGATAAAGGAACAACGATGGACCACTTTCTCTAGGAAAGACTGGGTTGATGGGGTAAGATCAAGCTGACTCTGCCCTGACGAGCGGCAGGTTTCTCTCAGCTCTCCGACAGGGTCCTGTCCTAGAGGGACTCCGAGCTGGCTGGAGATATCGGCTTGGAACTCCCGGGGAGTTGGGACAACCAGCCCTGCAGTGATCCTTAGGGACAGAAAATTCTCCGGGTTCAGAGGCATTTTTCTGAATATTGTGTAAATATACAGAATCAACTCCCAAGAGTTATAAATACTGAGATGTTCTCTGACGCAGCAATTTGGAAGAGCTTAGATTTTCGGAAAGAAAGGAGCTATATATAGATTTGGACAAATGACAGATTTAGCCAATAAAATGTTTGAAGACCGCCTTCAAATGAATCACGGGAGACTGTCTCAAGCAAACGAAAGTGTACAAAGAAACAACTTTGTGCAATGGAAACACTCTGAGGGCCAGACAGTCACATGTGTGACCTTGAACGTGACCTTTACTCAGCTCCGTTTTCTCTTCAAATGCCTCTGTTACCTGGCGTGTCTCCTCATGAACTCCCAAAAGGCCCATTCTTCACCTGCATTATTTCTTTATCAGATTTCAGCCCCTTTTCTAGAATTTTGTTTTGTTTTTCTGGGCTTAAACCTGTGATGCTCAGGGGATACTCCTGGCTCTGCACTCAAGAATCACTCCTGGCGGTGTTCGCGGGACCACAGGGGATGCCGGGGATCAACTCTCACTTGACTGTGTGCAAGGCAAGTGCCCTCCCCACTGTATTATTGCTCCGAAAAAACAAAACCCCAGGCACATTCTCTGCTGCCCACACTGCAATCTGGGACGTGTACCTCCCACCCTTGTAATTTTTCTAAATAAAACTATTTTACTACACACACACACACACACACACACACACACACACACACACACGGGGATTCTACACCAAGGACTTATTTTGTGAAACTAAAGAAAAGGCCTTCTTGGTTTCCCTTCGGATTGTGAAAATAATGCACGATCAGAGGCCCAATGAGAGTGAGGGAGGAAATCTGGAGCTGCAACTGGGTGGTTTTCCCATTGTCATCTCTGGGACGGGGCTCGCAGCGCACACCCGTGAGACTAGCGAAGGAACAGCTGTTTGGGTCTTGGAAACAAAACTTTGGAGCCCTCAGACTCCCCAGTCCCCAGAGACCCTCTTGGGGGTGTCGCTCCTCTCAACCAGAGGGGCCTCTTACAAGTCCCAGAGACAGAAACTGCCGGGATGATGTGGGGCCTCAGAATTCTGTTTCACAACTGCTGGCTTCGATATCTCTGGAATGCGGGGAAACAACAACACCGAACCACCTTCCGGTGGCCACAAACACATGCAGGGCAGCTCAGTTTGAGCAATACTGAGAAAGGCCACAGGACAGACCGGGCATGGGAGGGGAGGCTGGCCACCCCCACGATCGCCTACCCTCTACAGTATCTCTCCAGGACCATGGGTCTTGAAGGATGAATACGAGTTTTTTAGGCAGATGGACTAGAAAGATAGCGCAGATACGACACCTGCCTTGCACGTGGCCAGTCTGGGTTCGATCCCCAACATCCCCTACGGTTCCCTGAGCACCACCAGGAGTGATTCTTGAGTACAGAGCCAGGAGTGACTCTTGAGCACTACAGGTGTGACCCCAAACAAAACAAAAAGTTTTTCAGGCAGGGGCCAGAGCGATAGCACAGTGGGGAGGGCGTTTGCCTGGCATGCGGCCTTCCCAGGTTTGATCCCTGGCATCTCCTGGGTCCCCTGAGAAACACCGGGAGTAATTCCTGAGAGCAGAGCCAGGAGTAACCCCCTGAGCATCACTGGGTGTGACTTGAAAAGCAAAACCACCAAGTTTTCCAGGCAGACAGGCTCGCAGTATTGCAGGAGACGCCTGTGGGCAGCCAGCACTTTGGCTGGAAGGCTGCTGGCCCCTCTCTTAACCCACTGGCCCTGTTCCTCGGTTCCTTCTTTGTATCAAAACAAAGGGGAAGGCTCAGTCAACCAGGAAGTGCTTACTTGCCTCACCGGTTACTTCTCTCCAGCAACACCCCCCTCCTAGGCTAACTCGTTACCGAAGGGCGATTCTGTCACTGCAGGACTCGATCTTGTTTTTGAGTCTCTGACGTTTGTACACTAGATCAGCATTCCAAGCAATTCATCAGTGTCCACCAAGCACGGGCATTGTGCAGGGCACTCTACCTGTCAACGGTGTCAGTCTTGACCCCGACAACCACCCAGGTAAGATAAGACAGTTCAAAACAAAGACCACGATTCAGGAAACATTTACGAGGTGCCTGGTGTTCCGTGTTTAATCCCGCCCTTCCTCCAATAATCGGGGCGGTCCACGGGCGAGGCACTGTACTTGGCACTTTGTCCCCCGAGGTAAACATGGCTGTTGTTGCTGTTGTGGAGGTCAAAAGGTGTTGGGATTAACCCAGGGTCCTGAACACACAAGGCATGAGCTCACTTCCCCGGCACCTGGAAATCGAGACACACTGTAACATACAGGCCAGCGGGTTGCACCGGTAAATGAGCCCATGACAGTCAGTTCCCTGCCCAATCAATGTTCAAAGACTAGCAACAACTTGGAGAAAGGTGAGTGCGTGGGTCCCCAGGACACTGGGTGTAGATCATGGGCCAGATATGCTCAAGCTGCCTGTTTTTCATTTTTGTTTTTGACTTTTTGGGTCACACCCGGCGATGCTCAGTGATTACTCCTGGCGGTGCTCAGGGGACCATATGAAATGGCAGGGTTCGAACCTAGGTCAGCCGCATGCAAGGCAAATGCCCTCCCCGCTGTACTATGGCGCAGGCCCCCTCAAGCTGCTTGTTTTTCACATATTACGGCATTTTACAACACATGCAGAAACAGAGACCAACACAACAAAACCCCACACCCCTTCAATCGGCTTCAACAGTTAGAATCTTTTGGGCACTTCTGATTTGTCTACAACCCCCGTACCATTGCCCGCACCTCTCTGTTCTGTTTTGAAGCCAATGCTAGCATTTCACTCATAAATACTGAGAGAAGGAGAAGGAGATGAACCTGGCTGGACCTTCTGTTAGCCACAACTTTCTCCCCTTTTCTTCTTCCAGTGACTCTGCCAGTGTGATTACCGTCTGACTGGCTGCCAGTGACTTCAAAGCTTGTCTGGTCAAGACCCAAGGCTTTACCGAGACCTTTGAGTTGGCTGAAGACATCTATACTGATGCAGGACAAATCCCCATCCTATTTATTTTCTCTTCCAGTTTTCGGTCCTCAAAAGAGGTGCTCATTTGAAAGCTTACCGAGCACCAACCAGTATCTGTACAAAACCTTCCAAACAGTCTCCCTATGCCCTCAGCGACCTGCTGGGGGAGACTGAGGTTGTAGGGGGCTTGTTCTGCAAGGCTGAGCTGCAGTGGCTTCCTGTCAAACTGCGACCTACCTGGGCTGGGAGCCTCACTGCAGCGGGACACCTGGCCTCTCCACCCTCCACCCCTGCAGCCTTCCTTCCTGCACAGAACCAACATCCAGTTACTCAATCCAGAAAATTACCCTGGGGCCCTTCTCCTCAATTCTGTCAACTCTTTTATTGACTTATTTTTGTCATTCAGGACCACACTCAGCAGTGCTCAGAAGCTTAAGAGTCACTTGTGGGGGGTGCGGCGTGCGGCGTGCTCAGTGATCATACGGTGCAGGGGATGGAACCGGGCTTCACACGTGCAAAGCATGCGCTGGAGCCCTTTGAGCCTCTCCCCAGCCCAACTGAATCCATTTCACTTTGTTTGGCTTGAGTTTTGGTTTGGGGGCCGCATCGGGAGATGCTCAGGGGTTACTCCTGGCTCTGCGCTCCGGACTCACTCCTGGAGATGCTGGGGGAGGGGGACCCTCGGGAGTGTGGGATCCAACCCGAGTGCAAGGCCAGCGCCCTCCCTGCGGGTACCTCTCTCCGGTCCCTGCATGCCTTTTTTCCTTTCTAAGCCGTCGATCACTCTCCATCCTTCCAGCGGCGGCCAGGTGGCCTCCCCCACCCCCCCGCACCCCCACGCTCCGTCCCCTTCCCTGGGTGCGGCAGGCGCGCGCCCCCTTCCACTCTCCAGGCGGCAGCGGCGGGGCGATCGCTGCAAAACTCCTGCCGAAAACTCCGTGCAGGGTCCCCAAGCCCCGCAGGCCCCGCGACCAAGCAAGCCCCTTCCCCGCGCGCAGCGCGCCCCGCAACCCCACGCGTGTCCCGCGCCCGCGCCCAGACTCCGCAGGGGCCGCTGCTCCGCCCTCGCCAGTGCGAGGAGCAGCCGCCGCGGCCCGCGGCCCCACGCGGGCCCCGCGAGTCCCGGCTCGCCCGCGCGCCCGGCCCCGCCGCCGCCGCCGCCGCCGCCGCCGCCGCCGCCTCGACCTCCCCGGGAGCGCCCGGCCCGGCCCGGCCCGTCCGCGGCGCCCGGGCAGCGCCCGCCGGAGCCGGCCCGGGACGAGGCTTCCGATTGGCCGCCCGCGGCGACGGCGCGCCCGGAGGGGGCGGGGCGGGCGGGCGCGTCGCGGGGCGATGACGTCGCGCGCGCCCTTAAAGGCGCCGGCCCCCGGGCGCTCCGGGAGGCGCAGGCGCGTTCCGGGGCTCGCCCGCGCCGTCTCGCGTCGCGGCCGCGCCGAGCGCCGAGCGCCGAGCTGGGGCCGGGCGGGCGCGCGCCGGGCACGGGCCGTTCCGGGGCGGCCTCGCGATGGCCGAGGGCAGCGCCGTGTCGGACCCGCAGCACGCGGCGCGGCTGCTGCGCGCGCTCAGCTCCTTCCGCGAGGAGTCCCGCTTCTGCGACGCGCACCTGGTGCTGGACGGCGAGGAGATCCCGGTGCAGAAGAACATCCTGGCGGCCGCCAGCCCGTACATCAGGTGAGGAGCGCCGGGCCGGGCCGGGCCGGGCGTGGTCCCGGTCCCGGTCCCGCTCCCGGAGCCGTCGTCGCCCCGCCCCGCCCCGCCCCGCCCCGCGCGCGCCCCCCGGCCCCGAGCCCGCGCGGGTCGAGCCCCGGACGCGCGCGGGCCCCGCACCCGCCCCGAGCCGGCCCGGCCCGGCCCGACCCGGCCCGCGGATCCCGGCCCGAGCTGGCCTCCCGCGGGACTCGCGGGTCGAGCCCCCCAACCGACGGGGACCCCCCCCCCAGCCCCGCCCCGGCGCGCCCGGCGGGGTGGGAACGCGGCCGCACGCACACAGGTTCCAGGAACGCCGGGGCGAGTTCTTGCAGAATCCTGCCCATCCCGGCCGGCCCGGGAGGAGCTCCCTCCCTCCCGGACTTGAAGCCTCCTGGAAGGCGCCTCACAACTTGGGCAGAGCAACGCCGAACCCGACCTGCCCGGCCCCGCTAACCCGGGGGTTAATCCGAGTTGGAGACGACCTTAAGTGCTTGAGCAAAGTGGATCAGCTCTGGCAGGCTTCGCTCAGAGCAACTTTCTTACCAGTGGGGCTTGCTCTTTTTTTTTTTTTTTGGGGGGGGGGGGGGAACCATCAGATACGCTGAAAGCTGAAGAAAGCGCCCCGTAAGCTGGTTAAATATAGCCGTATAGTGGAGGATGGCATGGGGTGGACAGTGCCAGAGGAAGCCAAGAGCCTCCTGCTTCCAGCAGAACCCTGCACGCAGACTTTGCACCTGGTGACGTGGATGCCAGGGCATGCGGCTCAAGTGCTAAACTTCTGACTCCTTCTCAGGGCGTGTCCCCCCACCCCACCCCCCTCCAGCCCAAGGCGGGCTGCGGGAGAGTTTGTGGGTTCCAGAATGTGGGCCTGACCCACAGCTCCCTGGTTGGCAGGTCCGAGCTCTGAGCGATCGATAGCAGATCGGAATCTGCAAGCCACACTCGTCCCTGCTTGGATGCCTGCTTGAGGAAGTGGCTTGGGGAAATGGGCTGGATGCATCATGATTGTGGGAATTTCCAGGGCATCTTGCCCCTTTCTTAGCACTGGACCTTCACTGGTGACCCTGAGCTTTGGGAAGCAGCATCCTTACCTACATACACCTCCCCCCGCCCCCCCAAAGCTCAGTGAGGCCAGGGATTTTTCTCTGTTGCTTATGGTTGAGAGGTGGCCGCCTTCCTCTCCACCACCACAGATGAGACCTCAGAGCTTCGCTCCATCCCCGTTCCATGTCAGACCCTGAGTTATTATCACTCCAGCTTCTGCTCCTCTTAGCTGGGTGCTGTTGGTTGCTCATCTCGTCTGTCTGGTACATGATGGCTGCCGTGTGCCTCTGTCTCCTAATTCGTCGCACTGTCTTCTAAAGAGGGGAGGGATGGTGCTTTGCTGCCCGCGGTCGCTCCTGCAGTGTAGGCAGGAAAAGTGGGGGCGCCGCTGGCCCCACGTAGCTCCTGGTAAGACTGTTCACTAATGGGAAACGTTACTGATTTGTAATAGTAGTAATTTCATTGTGAAACAGGCTCATAGTAGCAGAGCCTGAAGGGATGTTTGTTCGGACCCTCTGGTCCGATCCTGTGACTTTCTGAATGAAGGAAAAGAAAAACTGGGCCGCAGTGGGCCTGTGTGAGATAAGCCCTGGCTGGGACTTTGTGGTTAAACTTGAATCGAGTTAATGATGCTGAATCGCCTAATCTCTGGGGTGGGGTGGGGTGTGTCAGGGCTAGGACCCAGGCTCCACGCATGGACGGCAGAGCAAGGCGGGTGCTGTACTGCCAAGTGAGCCATTTACAGAATGTTCCAGCTTTGTCTTCGTATATGGTAGGTTCAGTTCTGATCAGCCCCATCCTAGTGACGATGTGATTATCTCTCTTACCTTCGTGATGTTAGAGTTTAGTCTTGGCTACTTTAAATGAGCTCAGCCTATACCTATGGGGGGAGGGGGGAATCACAAACCCCTCCCTTTTCTTTTGGTGGGAGGAGGGGCCACAGCTTTTGGTGTTCTGGACTCTGTGTTCAGGGATCCTGGTAGGATTTGGGGGACCAAACCTGGCTTGGCCACGTGGAAGGCAAGTTCCTTGCCCCCTGTGCTGTCTCTGAGGCTCCAAGCCTGGACAGCTGTGAGCGGCTCCTGTAATTTATCCACCCCTGGATGCCAGTGGGAAAGTTTTGGAGCGTCAGTTGTCTGCCTTGGTGTGATCTCTGTGTCTCAGCTCTGCCACTGCCGGCATCACAGCTCGAGCATCACGGACTTGTAGGCCCTGGGAAATATCAAAACTTAGATTTCCAACTTTGGATTCCGCTGAATGCCGATCCGTTCTGCACCCACTAAAACCCCCCAAGTGAAGCTCTCTGCAGGTCAGCACCATCTACAGGATCTCCTTTCCATGTTCATTTCAATGTCCAGTGGCTGGCGCATGTTTCCTTGACACCTTGCTCCTGAGGTCTGTATGTGTTTCAGTGGTTAATTGCTTCAAGTTCATTTTACTGTTGAAGTGGTAGAATGTTACTGAGTTTCTTTTAAAATTATCAACCTCCAAAACCACTTCAGAGTCACTTGACTAATTTGTTACAAAGGAGCTGGCAGAAGTTTTGATAGTGGAACTGGTTTTTACAATGTATCTTTTTGTTTGAATTTAGAGACTTTGAAACAAAATGAATTTGGGTGATACTGCCCTCTAGGGGGCGCTTTTTTGTTTGTTCACTTAAAGATTTTCAGTGGGGGGTGGGGGTGGGTTGAGAAGTTGGGGGAGGGGGGCATAATTTTGTTTTTTTCCCCCCCCTGAAAAGCAGGTGGTAGGCCATGTCAGTAGGGGAACTTCTCTTCTAGAATTGACCTTTAGCTTTCCATTTCGAAGCTTAAGCATCTAGACCTGTGATGTCATTAATACATGGATTTGGTGTTCAAACTTTGGAGCTCCATCAGTATGCTTAGATCACCTAGGTGTGTAACCTGGACGTATTAACTGCTTTTGAGAAGTGGCAAATTGTGTGTGTCCTCAGCAGAGGGGACCAACTCTGCCACACCAGAAGTGAAAGCCACTCACGGGCATACTTGAGCTAAACATGGCAAAGTCTGTTAGCCCAACGGACTGTTTTAAATGTCCAGTCCTTTTTTCATTGGTTCAGTATCTGTTTCTTCCCCTCTCGGTGGTCTTTCTTGGTTTTGTGTGGGGGCCACACCCAGCGATGCTCAGAGTGTACTCCTGGCACTGCACTCAGGGATCGCTCTTGGTGGGCCCAGGGGAACCACAGGGGATGTGGGGACTGAACCTAGGTCAGTGTCGGTCTCATGCAAGGCAAACCCCCTCCCCGCTGTGCTATTGCTCCGGAGAGGGTCATCACAGTGATGCTGTGATAGACAGTCTGTCCTGCAGTGGGAAGGCAGGAAGCTGCACACCCTCACGGCAGCCTGAGGAATGGGGGTGCAGCCCGCAAGCGTTGCTCCCCTTCGGGTGCAGCTGCTCCAGCAGGACATGGGCGCTGCTGTGCCCGGCACGGGCTGCCCCGCCCTCCTCTGCGTCCCTCGAGGACATTTTTCCCGGGCGTGGATGGGAAACTCAATTTCAGTCTCGCCCAGGGCCAGAAAGTGGTGAAATGGAGTTCATCAGTCTGACAGCCCTCTTCCTCCGGGAAAGGTTCCCCGAGGCCAACGGGGCCTGTTCCTTTCCGAATTGGCTCCTGCCCGCTTGCTGTGCGCCTCCATGGGGATGCAGAGCCCCTTTCTCCATGAGCTCGAGTCTGGGGCGCCCGGCCCGTGTGTCAAGGGCTTGGAAGCAGATCGTGGTCTGGTCCGCAGAGCCTGCCGAGGTCCGGGACAGCGTTCCACACCTGGCTGTCCTGGTGAGAATTTGGTTTCTGGAGGTGAACTGTTGGATCTTTCGTTGGTTAGCTCTTGACCTGGATGGAGGCTGATGGGAAGTAATGTCTCAAATTGGGGGGCGGGGGGGCTCTGAAAAGTTGGCCAACTTAAAAAAATGGTCACTTTTTTCTCTTTATTTAGATTTTGGGCTACATTTATTGGTGCTCAGGGATTCCTCCTCACTCTGAACTCAGGGATAGTTCCTGGTGGACTTGGGGACCATATGGGTTGTGGCAGTTGCAAAGCAAACATCTTACTCTCTGCCCTTTCACTCCACCCCTTCCTTTTTCTTTTTAAGGGAAAGGAAGTTGATCCCCTAGGGGTGGGGTGGAGACGGGCAAGACCCATCCTCATGCCACTTTTCCGGGGTTAGCTTCCCCTTCTTGGGAGGGAGCTTCTCTGGCTTCACACTCTGCAGAGCCCCTTCCTGCCTGGAGAGACCAGCGCTGTGCCTGGCTTGCTTTGCGTGTCTTTGCTGTGGAGGGGAGTCTGTAGCGGCTCTTGCCGCTCTCCTGGAACCCCTAAAGTTTTGTTATGCTTGACAGTAATGCATCCCCTAGGCCCCACCACGCCGTAGTTCCAGAGTATTCTGCTGTGGAGTGTAAACACAACTTCAGAGTTGTTCTGTAACAAGCCTTTATTTTATGCCGTCGACCTGGAAGTGTTCCAAGGCTAATTATTGATGAGCCTGTTGTGCCATTTAAGTCTCAGATTTGACTCATAAGTGATGCCGTTGAAACTACTTAGGGAGACTAATGTGATCTTTGTCGGAGGTCCAGACTTCATGGCAGGAGAAACGGCCGTCGTCCTCTGAGTAGCTGGTGTCCTTGGGCCCCGCCAGCCGCCGGCGCTGTCTGCCATGTGCACGCAGGCGTTGGTCCTGGTACGTCCCTTCTCCTGGGCTCTGAGTTCGTAGTCAGCCCTGGTAGTGCCCCCGGTGATTGTTCTAGGGGTCTGGAATAGCGATTGTCGCCTGCTAAGCACTAGTGCCATAGTGCTCAAGGATCCAGCCAGCCTGAAGCTCTAGCTTCTGAGTGGCTCACTGAATCCTGAGCCTTCTAGAAAGTTCCCTGACTCTGCTGCCTCTTGTGCTCTGGTGAGGATGGGAAATGAGTCAGGCTTGGG